CACAGGCACCCAAAGTAGAAGGAGCAACCTTAAATCCATTCAGGAGAAGCCCTTCGCAAAGCCACGCTAAAACAACAGATAACCCTTCGCCATGACAACAAAGTCATAAAACGCGAACTCCAGGTCAGTAGCCTAGTCTTGCAAAGAAATAAAAAAGATTCCCGTGAAGGGAAGCTAGTCGCCAACTGGGAAGGACTGTACCGCATCCACAGTGCTATGGGCACCAGGGCGTACTACCTTGAACACTTAAATGGAGAACCGCTACCTCAACCATGGAACATTACAAAACTGAAACAATATTACAGCTAATTCCTTATCATACAACGAGCATTAGTAGTCGACCGGTCCCCTCCAACCAACAAGCAAACAAACTCGACTGCATAGGCATGTCAAGGTACAAACATGGCCTCCAAACATTAACGAAAGGCGGGTTGCTGTTCATTTCTCGAGCAGAACCTTAGCCCGACAGGGATACCTCAATCGAGCTCTGTTGTCGAAGTACCCAACAGGCAGAACACCCAACTCATGATGGGCAATTCATGCCACGAACTCAAGACCCCGACCGCGGTCTCGAACTCGTTCCGCGGATCCCTACTTCGCCTCCTCGACACATCCCAACATGTGTCGACCACAACCAAGGTCGAGCACAAATATCCATACATAGAAGTACAAACTTTCATGAAACAAACAAGTCAAGCACAACGACAAACAAGTATTTGACAAAAGCATAAAGGAAAAATAAAAGCATTCATAAATACCGACCACGAAGATCGACGCTGTTTAAATAATTACAAAATATGGGCACGTAGGTCGTAAATCCAAACTAAAACAAAAATGGGCACGCAGACCCAAAAACATATCAGATCTCATCCTCCCCGTCACTATCCTCCGCGGGGCTATCATAAGGGGGATAAAATATTTTCCATCAACCAATTAATTAAACGGCCCCACGCCTTCCACCACTAACTCGACCCCCGGGTTCAATATCTTGAGCTGCTCCACGGTTGTGTTAAAGCCATAACCGAGGGTATTGATGACATCTTGTTCGAGCACTCAGATGCACACGATTAGGTCTCCCCTGGTGGCGATGGCTCTCTCCATATCAGTCTCTTCATTGGTCGGTGACACGATCCCCTCCAACTCTTTTATTCTGGCAACCACACACTCGTTCTCTTTAGTCGCATCATCCAGTTGAGGTTGTAGCTTATTCAGATCCTTGAGGAGTTGAACCTAAGCCTCAAACTTTGTCTCATGGTTAAGGATGTCGCCCTTCAGCTTCTCATTCATACCCTTCAGCTTCTGAATCTTGGCGTACGCTTTATCGAGGGCGGATTGAGAGCCTGTAGCCTCGTCATTCAGCATCAAAGCCGTTTCGAGCACCCTCATAACGACAGCCACGTTGTCTGACAAGTTTTTTCGATAAGATATCACGGTTCAGGTAACATGGAGGCAACACGAAGACTCCCTCAACCCCCTTACCACTCTCGGGCGCAATGCGCTCGGTATCCTCTACACGCTTCCTCTTTACCGAGGGCTCGGGCGGGGGAACCTGGGTCTTTGAGGAAGAAGGGGAACCACTTGCACGTGCAGTAGATTTGGCCTGCTCCTAGAGTTGGGTGACCCTGTTCTTAGGCCCTGAGGTGAAAGCATTCTTGTGCCTCAACTTTAATAGACGCTCAGAAAGGGACACCATCAGATCTGCAATCAAAAGGAAACTATCAGTCATAGGTTAAAGAACCAAACATACAAGTATGGTCGTGACCATATGCCCTACCTAAAAGTCTCAAAGCCTCATCGTTTGAATAATATTAGAGCAAATGTTTCATATTGTTCAACCTATTAACGAGGAGATACTCCCTTTTATCATAAAAAAGGAGGTTATTGTTCATGTCCACGCACTTCGCCGGTGAGAAACTCTTAACATAAGATGCCAGTTTCTCATAGGAGATATGATCCTGGGCATCCAAGTCCTCAGGCTTCACCGTATAATACTCAGGATTTTCTCGAAATGTTTCCACTACCATTCAAGCGGGAACCTGGCCACCAGTCGAACCACTGGCCGACCTTCCTCCATCTCTTCCGAGCGATTGTACAAGGAAGCTATGGCCGCATCTGTTAGAGGCTTCACGATAAAGTAACTTTCTTTGAAATGGTGAACAAATTCCAAATATGGCCAAAAGAGTTTCCCAAACTGTTTAAAAGACACCCAGGCTTGCCCCCCTTCGATGGAATGCCTTTGCAAATGGAAGATACATAAAAAGAGGGGCAGAGTGGCTCCTATTTAAAGATATTAACAAAAGAGCTCGAACGCCCGTATGAACGCAAGCACATCTGGGTGAAGCTGGGAGGGTGCCAATTGCAACCATTGGAAAACCCCCACTTGGAAGTCATTAAATAAAAAACGCATCCTCGCCTCCTTGAAAGAGAATTCATACATAGGGAAGCTCTTTCCCGGATACATCGAGCATATCCTCCTATTTAAATAGGGAATTTGTAGAGCCCAATTGGCGGGGGCCCCTCTGCACGGACCTCCGGACAGTTGAACGCGTCTGATGTGTCGTGCGAGAAACACGACCTTTTATTTCTAGGTTCAGGCGTAACCCAGGCCAAATGGTCCTCCACGACATTAATATCGTCTTCTTGATTGGCGGGCACGACGTCCTCCTTGACTGGATGTGCCATTATACCTGAAAAGCAGGGGAAAACAGTGAATTCGATATCATCAAATTCACCCTTCCACCGCAGATCAAGTGAAAGGGCGATGAATTCATCGAGGAACGGACTCCGACCCAGGCCCTCAACTGCCACACTGAAACAAACCCCGCCCTGCTTGGGGACATTTGGTCAAATAGACAAAGCTGTCAGAATCCACCCTTCTATTCGGGGGGAATGACTTCGATGCTATGAACTTCATCCACTACTATAAACTTCAATGAACATTCATGAATGTTCATTGAAGAACCCATGGATATTCATCCAAGATTCATCCATTAAAGATAAAAACTGGGTGTTTAATCTAAGAATTCTGGAAAAAACACTGTCAAGAAGATACGACTTACTTGAAAGAAGATTAAACTTTGAATAATTCAAAGATGACATTGGAACGAAGCAAATCCACGAGCGAACGAAGAAGAGTGAAGAAGGAAACTTGAAGCTTGAAAATAACAAATGAACCCCTGAGTTCCCCCTTTTTATAAATGGTTCACACCCCACGAGGCAACACACGAAAGACCATCATTATTTTGGGCTTTTGAGCTCCCCTATGAAAAATTGGCACCCAAACAACTACCACGTGGGTGTTAATGAACAACCACTTACCCATTCTACAAGACGAAGTCATCCCCGACATTAATGCATATACGGGCTTCTCGATGACGTTTCAGGCTCAATGACGGGAAAATGCGCGACACCATGGTGAAGTCTGGCGTACGGGCACATTCTTGTCATTTCGCTCCCTAAAGCAAGGCAGACGCTCGACATCGTAGCGACCCCCTATAGACGGGCACGTCGAAAAAAGACCACTCGAGGAAACTCCTCACATCATATAGTTATATACTCCAAATGTGCATCAAACAAAATCAAAACCGAAGCTGATCGTTGGACCGCTTACGTGTTTTCAGAGTCCCCGACACATATCAACAAGTTATCCCCGGTGGAGGTGTGCAATTTGCCTTCTCGGGCAAAGGTTCCCCGAAAGTGAAGATTGAACTTAAGTCATCACCCTCTTACTTAAGGGCAATGACTTGGGGGCTCATGTTCTGGACTGGGCCAACACTTGCCCTACCGTTGGACAAACCCAATCTAGTGTCTTATCAAAGGCCCAAAGGCACGCAACCCAAATTGAGAATCGTTGGGCATGTCCCCATGAGTCTATTAGAAGCACGCGGCTCACGTGTCCACGTCATCATCATCTTGCCCTCCAAGAATCACAGATCCATCTCCTGTTTTCCCGGGACAGTTGACCAGGGAGGAGACCACGTGTTATACTCCACACACACGTAAACCTTGACAATCTCCATTGTTGGGCCTCATCGTGGCCCAACAATAAAAATCTTGGCCCAACGTTTGAGGCTATAAATATCCTCTCACTTGAGAGAGTCAGATATTTATTCTTTCATACTCACTCTGTTACTTGTTTGCATTGCTCTGAATCTCACTTTAGCATCAGAGTGTCTTGCAGGTACCCTCCACTTCACATCCAACCGTTACTCGACTCGAAACTTGTGGGTTTTGATAATCCATTATGACCAGATACGATTAGATTCTATAAAAAATTTTACACTGTCAATATATGAAAATATTCAATTAAAGTTTACACTTTACCTAAATTTTAATGAAAAAGAAGAAAAAGCTTCATCTAGATAAATCTTATAAAAAATGTGAATATTAATATCAACATGAATTTCTTCATATTTTATTCTATAAGCAAGTTGTTAAAACAAACACACTAACAAAGAAACCATTTTCCTAAAAAACCAAACCGATTCGTTTAAACCCAAAAATTGAAAACCGGATACTCAGGACACAAGGTAGCTAGTTTGAAACCCTAGTCCTACTTTCGACTTCCGCCATCATTGCATCCCTCCGCCGTCATTGCATTTATTGTATTTCAGCGCCTTCGGTATACACTATGACCTCACCAATTTGTTTTCAATTATTTTCTTTGATATATGGAGATTATACATTTATAATCGTGGATTGAAGAAAAATAAAACTGGATTTTAAAGCTAAACCGCATGATATCTGGTTTTTAAGAAAACCCAGTTTGAAACCACTCGGATTTAAACCAGTTTGAAACCGCTTCAGAAGTTCAGTTTTTGTTTTTTAAATCGTTTAGGATTAAGCATCACTATACTCATCCGTTATCTCTTGTCAGGCAGCGCCGCGTTTTGTCACCTTTTCACTCAGACATCAATGGCTTCTCTTGAATTCTTCTAGTTTCTGAATTCTCGTTTTTTCAATCTGTTTCCATTCCATCAATCTTCAATCCTTCATTCAATATGTCTCTGTTCCTCAAAGCAATGCCTTTGATGGTTCTCCGACCCATGTCATCCTTTTTCTTTCTTTCTAGGGTTTCCACTACAATTCCGAGGCTAATTTCAACAACCAGAACCGTTTCTTCTGTTTCTGCTTCAATTCAACCGCTTACTTCCGATGCTAAACCACTACCACCGTCTTTGCCTTTCAATGAATCGCTTCAATGGGTTTCGAGGACCAATTTTTGTGGTGAATTGGCGCTAAGTGATGTTGGTAAAAAGGTTCGGATTTGTGGTTGGGTTGCACTTCATAGAGTCCATGGTGGACTCACTTTTCTTAATCTTAGAGACCATACCGGGATTGTTCAGGTTCATGCTTTGCTCATAACATATTGTTTGTTACGTTATATTCCATTTCCATTTTCATGATTTCATCATGTATCAACTACTGTACTATCGGTGTTTATAATTGAACATGCTGTGTAATTCAGGTTACAACCCTTCCAGATGATTTTCCAGTCGCACATTCTGCTATCAACGACCTCAGACTGGAGTATGTGGTTGCCATTGAAGGTGTTGTCAGGTCTCGTCCAAATGAATCAATCAACAAGAAGATGAAAACGGGCTTAATCGAGGTGTTTTAAATTTGTTTATCTATGAAGAAATATGCCTTGTACTTCATTGATTGTTGTCTTCAATCTCAAGATATGTTTTTTTGTTTGTTTGAAATATTTGATTTATTTACTGTTTTCTCCCTGTCTACCAAAATTTCACATTCATCCTTGTGTTGCAGGTTGCTGCAAATGAGGTTCAAGTGTTAAATTCTGTGAATTCAAAGTTACCATTCTTAGTTACTACAGCAGACGATGCAAAAGATTCTCTTAAAGAGGAAATCCGTTTGAGGTAGTAGCCATTGATAGTTGCATGGTACTTGTAATTGTTATGAAGTTATTTATATATAATCTCACTATATGTAGATGTTTCCTATTAATGCTGTTCTCCATGTTTATTTATTATGAAGTTATTTATTTAGTAAATGTCATTTCAGACTTATCTTCAATTTTGGTGGAAAGGAGAGAATTTTGTGCGGCGGCCTATCATAATTTTTCATAATATGATAGCCCACTGGTTTTGGGCCCAAGGCCAATGACCAAGCTGAATATAAGAGTTAGGAAAAGAGCTGATGATGTGGTAGTTGGTTAGGATGTGCAAAGATTTTTAGGGAGAAGGAGGTGAGAGTGAGAGGCTCATTCAGAAATGTTATTAGCATTCGGTTAGGAGAAAATATTCTCTGGTCAGGATGTTGCTCACAATAGTAAGTGAGCTTTGCTTCATTTTCATACTCAATACAAAAAAACAGAATTTCCATTATGAATTCACGGGTTCCATCAATGGTCTGATCTTCCGGATTATTGAGAGGAGCTAGCAAAGTGGTTTGTAACCCACATCCTTCAGAGTAAGAACCACCGAACACCAGTTGCAGGCAGAGGCTCATCCCCAATCATTTACACTGACAACAACCAATCTCATTGTAGCAGGGAACGACTCCATATTAGATGAGCCATCTTGTTTGCACGCCGATCTGGTACTCTACATCGGGTCTGACTTTGGACAAAATGGGCCTGGTGCAAAGTTATTCTAATTTGTTGAGGAAAGAAATTAAGACTTGGAAAGGAGCTGAGCCGCTGAAGCTGCCCTAAGTTGAGATTAACATTTGGGTCCAAGACCAAACAGAGTGGGGGTTGCAAAGGTGCCAGCTAAAGGTAATTCAGGAATTACTGAGTCGGGCCACTTTAAGGCTGAGGAAATAGATGAGAAAATATGCGAAACTATGGTAACAAGTTTTAGAAGCAAAAAATTGGCTTCAGTTATGATGATGCTCACAGTAGTTCAGGTTGCAATGGAAGAAAGGTTTGTTTGTATTTTCATTCCTAATCATTGTGTTGACACATTAAAGGATAGCAATGCTACCAAGGAGCTAAGCAAACATTATGTTGTTGTATTTATTGGAGTTGGGAAGTCTATTAATTTAATTAAGATTGATTGCTGGCTCAAACAACACATTAATAAAGTCATGATAACTGCTTGTGTTGCAATTCAATCAGGGATCATTAAACAATTATAGAAACATGCAAATAGATTTCAAAGATCTATATTAAAGAAAGTTTATGCCAAACATCCTACTGTTGTGGCAAAGGAAGCATTTCTAGAGGCCTCTCATGAGAGTTTAGATGTGATTCTAGTTAATAAAGCAGGATGTAGACATGAGTATGAACCTTTGACAGATGCTTTGTCAAGGTATAAATATTTTCTGTGATAACATGCTCAAGCTCATCCAACGTCTTGAAGACACAAGTACAATTGAGTATTAACCAATCTGTTTGAAAAAGTTCATAACTCTTACTATGGACAGCAAGAGTAGAGGGAAAGAAATAGCACCAGCACTATCTGTTATTCATATACATTTTTTCTCAACAAAGGATGCAGTTAATGATTTACCATGCTTCTTGATATCATATAGAAGAGATGCCAATGAATATGTTGAATGCTTCAAATGCACTTGCGCTTCTCTTTGCTCAAGCTGTGGTTGCTGAAGTAGTGGCCTCTCTAAACATAGAAGAAATTTACTGCATGCTTCTTCCCAATTGCAATGGGAGTAAAACTATGGATGAGCCGATCATTCGAAATTGCTTCGTCTAGCTTCTAACCGTGGGATCCTGGGGGCATGGACTTAATTTGGAACTTTTACAATACACGAGGGGGTTCTTCAACAGTTAAATACTTCGGTTGTTTGGCGGCCACTGCTTGCCTAATTTCATTTGATCTCTTGCAAGTTGTTCATGCTATGGTCATGCCACCAACTTTAGGTGACAAGAAGTATTCGACACATGAGTGTCCTTATCTTAGCCTTGTGGACAAGGCTATTTTCCAAGAGGACGGTAGTGATAGGAAACTAGCTTTGGGCCTAAGCCTAATAGCCAAGCCAAATGGAAGAGTTAGGAAAAGAGTTGCTGATGTGGTGTGGCAGTTGGTTAGGACGTGCAAGGGGTTTATAGGGAAAAAGAGGTGAGAGTGAGAGGCTCATTCCAAAAAGTCGTTAGTATTCAGGTTGGAGAAATTATTCTCTGGTTAGGAGCTTAGCCCTCTTTAGGAGTTCTTGAACTTCCCTTTATCTTTTCTTTCATTAATGTAAGTGTACTTTGCTCCATTTTCATTCTCAATGCAAACAGATTTTCCATTTTGAATTAACAGGTTGCATCATGATATATATTCATTTTTGTATTATGTAAGCATATGAGATTTATTGCTTACAATTACTAATTTGCAGGTATCGATATCTTGATCTAAGAAGGCCGCAAATGAATTTTAACATTTTGCTTCGCCATAAAGTGGTTAAACTCATACGAAAATATCTAGAAGATATACATGGTTTTGTGGAGGTACTGTTCATTAGGTTCATCCCTTCCCTTGAGTTATTGAGTCTCTTGCACACCTTACTTTGGTAGTTGGTATCCTGTGTTGATCTTTACCTCTTTTTGTTCATAAGGTAGATTGAAACTCCAATACTGTCAAGATCCACACCAGAAGGTGCCCGGGATTATTTAGTTCCATCAAGAGTCCAGGTATTAAGATTTGTTCACCTATTGCATGAGATGCTAATTTTATTATATTTCTCTAATATATTGTTAGTCTTTATTTCGCTTTGTTTAGTATGGCTTTTAATTACAACAGAGAAAATAAGTCAACACAACAGACTTTGAAAAAATTAATCTATACTATTGATATTTATCTGTTATGTTTTGACTGCAAAAACTGTAGTAATTTCCCATAAGTGAGTTATCTGTATTATGCCACTGAATAATTTTATTTTATCGGGATATCATCTTTGATGAGTGGAGCATTGTTAAGATATAAAGCAATGTGATGTTTTTATCTACTTTATTTATTTTTGTGAGATATGTAATTTATGTCGTGTTTTGTTGATTCGTTATTTCATGAATTATGAAGCCAGGAACATTCTACGCCTTGCCGCAAAGCCCTCAGCTATTCAAACAAATGCTAATGGTAGCTGGTTTTGATAAATATTATCAAGTAGCAAGGTATGCTATTCTCTTTCTTGTCTTTTGGTATCTTGGCTTATGTTATGGAGGATTTGTAAGGGCCTGTTTGTTTCAGTTTTAAAAAAATAGATTTTTTCTTTGTATTTTTGAAAATAGATTTTACAATTCCGTTTTGCAAAATATTATAAGATTTTTTATATTTGTTTTTTCTAAATTAAAACACTAATTGTGACATCCTATAACATAAACATAGATTATTGAAGACCAAAATATAGTCAAAATCACAACTTTTTCAAAAAGTTGTATTTTAAAAATGATTTTTATGAAAATCTATTTGAAATAGCTTCAAAATTAAGTGATTTTTTGAAATTTTGATATCCAAAAAAAGGTTTCAATAAGAAGATGAAATACCTAAAATAACATTTTAAGAATAACTATTCAAACCAAATTTTCATTTGAAGCTTTTACGAAAAGTTTCTTTGTAAATTTTTTTTACACAAAATTATATAACACTAAAAATCATTTAAAAAAAAGCCAAAACAAACGGGCCCTAAAACTCTTCCCCTTTTCCTATAAAAATGCATTTGGTTTGTGTGATTTACATTTAAAAGATATTTGATGCAAGTCGCCATGTTTGTTTTTGGATAAAATGCAATTTACTTTTTGCCAGATGTTTTCGTGATGAAGATTTAAGAGCTGATAGACAACCGGAGTTCACACAACTAGATATGGAAATGGCTTTTACTCCTTTAGAGGATATGTTGACTCTTAATGAAGAGTTGATCAGAAAGGTTAGTTTATATCATCTATAATCACACTTCTCTAACAATTTAAATAAATTCATGTTATCAATAAATTAATTTTTTTTGAAGTGATAATGAAAACATATATTAGATGATTTTTTGGTGTAAAAATAGGATGTGTTTACTGCAGGTTTTTCTTGAAATTAAGGGTGTGGAATTACCAAATCCTTTCCCTAGGCTTACTTATGCTGAAGCAATGAATAGATATGGTTCGGACCGGCCAGATACCAGATTTGATCTCGAATTAAAAGATGTAATGCTCTTTATTTCACCTCCTCTTAGTACTTTTGTGGTTTTTAGCATATGGTAGTTACTTTGATCTTCTCTTATGTGCTCACATTTTTTCATTTGATATAGCTTGCTGCAGACCCGTGTTGGAAATCACTGTTACTTTGTGTTTTAGTTTCGTATTGCAATAACTTACCTATACTTGCTTCATCTTGCTGAGATATAACTTCTCATTGTCTGCAGGTATCTGACATTTTCTCAGGGTCTTCTTTCAAGGTTTTCTCTGATTCCTTGGATAGTGGAGGAATTATAAAAGTGTTGTGTGTACCTAATGGTGCAAAAAGGTACTCAAATTCAACTCTTAAGAAAGGTGATATTTACAATGAAGCATTCAAATCTGGTGCAAAGGGTTTACCTTTTCTCAAGATCGCAGAGAATGGTAAATAAAATTCACTATCAATACTTAATTTTATGATATTTTGAGACATGTTTGTTATATTCTGTTGTTTATTGTGCAAACCTTTGTTTTTAGGGGATATTGAGGGAATTTCTGCTTTAGTGTCAAGTATGGATCCTTCAACTAAAAATGATTTGTTAAGGCGATGCTCTGCTGGACCGAATGATCTGATTTTATTTGCTGTTGGTCATCATGCATCTGTAAATAAAACTCTAGACCGTCTTAGAGTTTATGTGGCGCATGAATTAGGTTTAATCGACCATGTAAGTTGATATTTTATTTTTAAAGGAAAATAAATGTGATGTATCTGGATTATTCTTTTCACTTACACTATCTGGTTATTTTTGTTGAATTTTAGGGCAGACATTCAATTTTGTGGATTACTGACTTTCCAATGTTTGAGTGGAATGATTCGGAGCAGAGGCTTGAGGTCTGTTTTTCTTTTAATATCTCATCCAACAATGTATTTCTCAATATTATTCATTTCATTATTCTTAATTATGGGCTAATGCAGGCTCTTCATCATCCTTTCACTGCACCAAATCCTGAAGACATGAATGACCTTGCTACTGCTCGTGCGTTGGCATATGACATGGTTTATAATGGGGTGGAGGTAATTGAGATTTAGTCTGGCTTACTTTTCTCTCTCTTTAAGCTGAGGTTGACAATTTCACGACCAATGTCTGCATAAATAACTAAAAATATTATGTTGTCTGTCAGATTGGTGGAGGAAGTTTGAGAATTTATAAACGCGACATACAACAAAAGGTTTTGGAGACTGTGGGCATCTCAATGGAACAGGCTAGTAAAAATCAACTCCATTCCTAGCCTAATTTATCTTTTTCATTTAGTTTTGTTGATAGTTGATTAGTTGATAGGTTATAAAAGATAGTTTTCGAGAATTGTTTAGAAAGAAGGCTATGGCATTGATTTCTTGGATGATGATTTACAAAGTACCAATTGCCTATTTATAGGCTCACCAACCTCTCAACGGTGGTGAATGTTTCTACATTATTTTAGTTTTTTTCTAAATGTTTCATGATAGTTCTAGGTTTTTCTATCATTTCCCTACACTTATAGTTCTAGGTTCTTCTACCATAATCATACACATTATAGTTCTAGGCTCTTCTACCATTTTCATATATATCATATTTAAGAATATTCTAGAAATTTGTAGTAATTTCAACAAGTTTTTATCTTTTCATTTTTAATAAATGAGTCGTGTTGGCTAGAAAAATTCCGATTAGAATCATGTTTTGTTTATTGGCTTCTTGTGATCCATATTGTTTTTCTGGCATTGCAGTGTTGCCATAAGTTTAATCATGGCTTGGAAGGCATGTAACTAATCTGAATTATGCTTTATAATTTATTTTCAGGCTGAAGCAAAGTTTGGCTATCTTCTTGAAGCGCTTGACATGGGGGCTCCGCCACATGGTATGTATATTTGTAAATAGTTTAAAACCCTATTCCATCCTTTTTAAAATGGTTTATCTGACTACAGTAGCATTTAACTGAGAACATTTCAAAAAAAGCAACTTCTAATATTATATATGAAACAAATGCAGGAGGTATAGCTTTTGGTTTGGATAGATTGGTTATGTTGCTGGCCGGAGCTAGTTCTATCAGAGATGTCATTGCTTTCCCGAAAACAACTACTGCACAGTGTGCCCTCACAAGGTCACCTTCTGAAGTGGATCCGCAACAGCTGAAAGATCTTTCAATTACTACGTAGATAAGTATTCAGCTCTTCATAGTTTTTGTTACTTGCACCCATTTTTGTACTCTATCAATGAATAATTTATGTACATTTAAACAAATCATGTGTATTTTTATTAGGATGTGTTTCTAACAAAATCATATTGAATGTATTTAAGTCCGGTGGAAAGGATGTGTTACTTTGTGGTGTGGGTAAATTAAACATTCAAAACATAATAAAGCTCAGTGTTGACCTCTCCTCTGTAGTCCGACACAACACCGACACTTCTAATTACGTTTAACTAATTAATTTATTTTTCAAATATTATCAGTGTCGATGTATCGGTGTTAGTGTCGATGTATCGGTGTTAGTGTCGATGTATGGTGATCGTGACTGGGCCGAGCTTCATTTGACCCAAGTCTTGAACACTTTCTTTTTGTTATTTCTTTGATGGAGAATCATTCATTACCACCACACAATTTTCCACTAACTAATGTCATTAGCCATGTATAAAATAATATAAGAAATATGATAGATGAGTTTAAGGAATTTTCAAACCCATTAGAAGAGGGTTACAAATACACTACATATGGTGAACACCACTCCATGGAAATAAATTAAAAAAAATCAAAACCCATTGATAAAACATTAAAAAACATAAATTACTTTACACCTTTTTTCTTTAGATAAACCATTTTATCATAAACTCATTATTTTAGAGTTAAACTAGTGGAATACTCTTGTGTTTTCACGGGTACTGGTGTGGACTGCGGAATTGTCATTAGTTTAATTTTGAAATTCAAATAAAATAGAAAGTATTTAAATATAATTGTAAAAAGGGAAAACAAAATAGTTTTAGTAAAGTATAAGTTAAAAGAAAAATAATAAAAATGTAAATAAGAAAAACAAAATATTTTTACTAAAGTAGTTTATTATTTCAATAAGAAAGACATATTTTTAAAATAAAATCAAAATTGTATCAACTTTTCAACTTTTAAAAGAAAGACATCAATAATATTCTCTCTGTTTCAAAATGAGTGTCATTTAAGGTTTTTGCACACAGATTAAGAAATATAATAATATTATTATAAGATATTGCATTTTTACTAAATTAATTTTATAAATGTATTGAAAATAGTGTAAAGTGTAATAATTAAATGACATAATTGGAAAAATAACAATCATTTCTATATTGAAAAGTTAAAATGATATTCATTTTGAAATAAACTTTATTTGCTAAAACGACGCTCATTTTGAAACAGATGGAATATATATATCAATTATTCATATATTATCTTAAAAATGATTGTATTTTAAATTAAAAATTATTTGCAAAGTTAAAATATTAGATACATAAGTAATTAAAAAACAACACATTTTTCTCGTGTTTGGATTGATACATTATTATAAATATGTATATTTTTATTTTCTTTAATGGTACAAAAAAATGTAATAACGCGTGCGTTCACAAAGATTTTGGTATGGTTATCCGTCGTTCACACGACACTGATGTGTTACCCGTGTGTTCACATAGATTTTGATCTGGTTACTCGTGCGTTCATACAGTATTAGTGTGTTACGTGCACGTTCATACAGTATTAGTGTGTTACGTGCACGTTCACACTTATTTTGGTTTGATTATCCGTGCACTCGCACGATATTGTGTATTACCCATGCGATCGGAATGTGTAACTAATAAAAGAAAAATTCAAACTATTTTACCATATCACTGGTCTAACCATTATGTGGGAAGAAAAACATAAACGTATCTCATTGAAACAACTTAACACAAACTCAGTATTATTAATTCAAAAACAAATAAAATTAAGCTAGATGAAAATATGGTATGCTCGGAAAGCATTTCTCAGTAGACCTATGCAAATGATCATTTTGTTGTCTAAATCATCTAATGTTGGAGTTGTTTCTATGATGGAATCCACTATTTTTTTAATGCCTCCTTATCTTTCTTAGTATGTGGCTTTGTCATTGGCTCTATTAGTTCTTGATTTGTTTGACTTGCGTCTTTGACAATTATGTCCTAATCAATAGTTCGAAGTTGTACCACTTAAAAGAACTTTAAAAGAGCTGCTTCATAATCATTTATATATCAAATGGTTCAGAGTTGTAACATCACGATTTCTCTTTTTTCAAAGGTTAAATTATATTTGTACAAAACAGCTGCTGATGTAAAGATTAGGAATGTCACTAAAAGTCATCAACATAATTAAAAACTACTAAAAAAAACTTAAATTCCATGTTGATATTTGTCTTGAGGGGTTAAATTTGTGCTTGCCGGTGAAAATCATGAGGCAAGTTATGCATTATAATTCAAGTAAACTCCTCCTGTTTTGTATGTGTTTTTCTTTCTCAATTTTTCTTCATCCATATTCTTCATGTTTAACTCAATAACATCATGAAGAAGCTCAAATTTTTTATACACCCAATATGCTATCTTCATCACAGTTATTGTCTGTGGCAGTAACATTGTATTGCAGCCTATTACAGGAATATGGTAGATATAATAGCTGATGTGGCATAAATATCTGTCATACCCAATTTGACAATACTGCTTTATCACCATTGAGTGCAAAGATGCATTGGGCAAGTAGAAACCTTGATATGGCTCATGCTCAAGTACTTTTTAGTTTTTATCCATCTGCATGACCGCTAAATTTTGAAGAAACTAAAAGAAAAACCTTACATGCTATAGATAAGGTTGGACATATCAACCTAGTTCTGGTTTAGAGTTATGTTGTTTCATGGGAACATGCAATCTTCTGGAACTGCAAGTCAAAGTAAAAGAAAACAATTTGCTTGAATATATAACAATTCTTGTTATTCCAAAAACTAATCTCGTTGGAAGCCTGTTTTTTCTCCCTACCTGTCATAACACAACTCAGTTGTTTCTTATTATTACTTTTCCCCTCGCTCCTTTTTGTTGTCCCTGCTGTCTAATCTGCAGGAACAATCCCACAACTCATCAATCCAATTCATACATGAAAAAAATAATCCAAATTCAACACACGCAGATCTAGACATAAATCACACATTTTTGTATGATGACATACAATCTAACCTCTAGACGAATGAAAGAGAAGAAACAGTCATCATGCAAGTTCATGAAGCATCTGGACTGCAACAGGTTTTAATTCAAGCAATGTGTTGCCCTCACTAATTATTCTCTCTGCACTTTTCATCAGCATGACTGGTAACCAGATAATCAAGATCAGTTAGACCTCAAAAAACGATAAGCTGGAACTTTAGTTTTCTTGTAAGGAGAAAATCATAGAGCATAACTATATTAAACCCATCTTCTAATTAACTTACTTGCTTGTCAATTATTCTGCTGTTTGAAATCATGAGAAAACATTATACTTAATATATGAGAAAACATTATATAAATAGAGAAAACATTTATTAACTTAATGTATTCTGAACTAAGTTGGATAACTTGGAAAGCACGACAATAATGCTCTTGTGAATCCATTTGATTGCAGAATGCAAAATATACACAATTCATTCATTCGTGTTAAACACTACATATAATTAGTCACATACACTTATTAAAACTATGCCGAAATTATCAAACTAAAACATACAGTTAGTCACATACACTTATTAAAACTATGCCGAAATTATCAAACTAAAACATACAGTTACAAACATAACCAAATATGTTCCCACCTGCAATAGAGTAAGTTGCGCAGAGAGTGTAGTGGCTTCAGTCTGCAGTGTCTGAATCTTGTGTTGTAGCTCTAAAATGTATCCCATCTTGCGTTCTTTCGAACGCGCAGATGATTGCCTATTAGCCATGATAGACTTTGTTAATGTAGAGAGAATAGAAGGAATGAAAGAAATTCTCATTGTACTTTTTGTATTTTAGAAAGATACAAAGAGCTTGCTATATATAGTGGAGCAAGTCTAACAAACCGTGACAAACAAGCTGTCAGCTCAGCAATAATAGAACACACACATATTCCACTACTCTATCCACTACTGAAATAGTCACACTTATTTCACTACATTATACCACTACTCTATTAGTCCCCCTTAGAATCTGCTGGTGGGTGTTTCAAAGCAATTTTGTCTAACACACGCAATTTAGAACGCAGAGGTACACATTTGGCAGCAGATAAGGGTTTAGTGAGAATGTCAGCCCACTGATCATGTGCTGGAACATGAACCACAGAGAGGTGTTTGCTGAGAACCTTCTCTCTAAAAAAAAAATCTAGTTCCATATGCTTGGTTCTGTTGTGTAGGATAGGATTATGAGCAAGAGTGACAGTGCTCAAGTTATCACACAGGATCCTAGGCACCTGACAGGAGCAGTGAAGTTCCTGAAGTAAAGACTGAATCCAAATGAGCTCAGCACCCAATTGAGCCATGCTGCGGTACTCTGCTTCAGCACTGGATCTAGCAACAAGCTGTTGCTTCTTGGACCACCAGGAAACAACATTTGGACCAAGATAGATACAGGCCCCTGAAGTGGACCTCCTGTCATCAGGATCTGATGCCCAATCTGCATCACATAATCCTAATAATTGCATAGGCTGCTGGACAGGGGCAGGTTGAATGAGTAAACCATGATGCAAAGTGCCACTTAAGTACCTCAAAATCCTCTTGACTGCCTTCCAATGATCCTCTAAAGGATTGGATAGAAACTGACAAACTTTGTTGACAGAAAAGGAGATCTCAGGCCTAGTTAAAGTGGCATATTGCAAGGCACCAACAACTGACCTAAAGTGAGTTGGGTCTTCCACAACAGCTGAGCCAACTTTGGATAATTTGCTGCTGGAAACCATGGGAGTGGGCATGCCATTAGCATTGAGCATATTAAGTTTGGTCAGTAGATCAGAGATGTACTTGGTTTGAGATAGAAGCAAAGAACCATTAGAGAGATGAGAGACTTCAAGACCTAAAAAATAATCAAGTTGTACCAATTGTTTCAGTGAAAATTTGTTGTTGAGGTGCTTGATTAATGAGGTAATAAAGGGAGCTGAACTGCCTGTGATGATAATATCATCAACACACCAGAATCATGACCTGAAGCTTGCCTTGATGCATCAAAAAGAGACTAGGATCACACCTGCTAGCTTGAAAACCAAGTTGAACCAATGCACTCTTCAATTTATCAAACCAGGCTCTAGGAGCTTGCTTTAAACCATAAATCGTCCTGTTCAGTTTACACACCAGTGACTTGTCAGCTGCTTCAAAACCAGGAGGCTGCTGCATAAACACTTCCTCTTCAAGAGTGCCATTGAGGAAAGCATTATTAACATCAATTTGTTGGATTGTCCATTTGTTACTAACAGCAATGGTTAAAATGATTCTGACTGTTACAGGTTTGATGACAGGTGAGAAAGTCTCTTGGAAATCACTGTCAGCCCTTTGATGGAATTCTTTAGCTACTAATCTGGCCTTGTACCTGTTTATGGAGCCATCAGGGTTTTCCTTTGTTCTGAAAACCCACTTACAACCAATAGGCTTCCTACAATCAGGAGCTTTCACCAATGTCCAGGTCTGATTTCTCATCAGTGCCTGATACTCTTCTTGCATTGCCTGAAACCAATGAGGAGCAGCCAAGGCCTGACCAACAGAAGTGGGTGCCATGTGGGTTAAAAGGAGGGTAGGATGAAGTCTGGGTAGAGTGATACCTCTTTTGGCTCTAGTTTGCATAGGGGTGCACGTTTTGAGGGTGAATGAAAGGTAAAGATGAAGTAGGAGGGCTGAGATTAGGGCTTGAAGTAGCTGGTTCAGAAAGATTGTGAGAGGAGGAAGGAGAGATGGTACTAGTTTCAGATGGATCAGTGAGGATTAGAGCAGGAGAGATAGAAGGAGAGGAGGGAGCAGGAATGGCAGTGAGAGGCTGAGGAACAGGAGTGACCATCTGCTGACTGACAGAAGTAGAAGATTCAGGAGAAGAACCAGAAGTATTAGAAGGAGGAGAACAAGGAGTGGGACTGTGACTGCCAGCATGATTGGAAGGAGAATTGGAAGATAAGGACTGAGAAATGGAAGATGAAGACTGACTGGCAGCAGAGGGAATGGAAAGAGGAGGCACAAATGTAGCACTGGAAGACACTAATGAAGGAACTGAAGTTTTGGAAGAATTGGGAAATAAGGAGGAATAAGGAAACAAAGCTTCATGAAACACAACATCCTTAGAGATGTAGATATGTCCATTATAGGCAAGACATTTGTAGCCTTTGTGAGAGGAGGAATAACCAAGAAAGATGCATTGTTGAGATCTATAGGCCAGCTTATGAGTGTTATAACGGCGCAGGAAAGGATAACAGGCACAGCCAAAAACCTTAAGAGTGGAATAATCAGGTGGTTTGTTGAGTAATTTGTAGTAAGGGGAGGTATTATTAAGGATAGGACTGGGAATTCTGTTAATGAGATAGGCTGCAGTAACAAATGCATGATCCCAAAACTTCAAAGGAAGAGTGGATTGAGCAAGAAGGGTGAGACCAGTCTCAACAATGTGTCTATGTTTGCGTTCAACAAGACCATTTTGGTGGTGTGTATGAGGACAAGTGAACCTATGAACAATTCCTAAATTTGTGAGATACTTGGTGAGAGGCCTAAACTCTCCTCCCCCATCAGTTTGAACACACTTAATGGAACAATTGAACTGCAGTTCAACCATTTTCTTAAACTGAAGGAACTGAAGCATAGTGTCAGACTTGAGTTTGAGAGGAAAGACCCAAACAAACCTAGAAAAAGCATCTACACAAGTTAGGAAGTAAGTGTAGCCACTTGAAGATTGCATAAGGGCTGGACCCCAGAGATCACACACCACTAATTCAAAGGGATGTGTGTAGACTGTGGTAGACAAGGATGATGGCAATCTATGAGACTTGCCAATACAACAAGCATGACACATTTCTGTGGGTGGTTTAGAGGGAATAGCCAGTTTACAGAGTTTGAAAATTTCAACAAGAGGATGGTGATTAGGGTGGCCTAATCTGGTATGCCACAGAACATATTTATTAGTTGCTATAGCAGCTGAGCTATTAGAGTGAGATAAGGGTAAATCAGTGCTAATAGTGGCAGAATTAAGAGAAGAATTGAGGAAAGTACTTGTAGTATTATTATTGAAGGATTCATTACATGGAAGTGTAAGATTTGACATACAATGGGGAGTATTACAACTGCTTATAGCCGGGGGAACAAAATAAACTACTGCTAGAGCTACAAGTATGAAGACTGGGACAAGACTTGGACAATGGAGATGCAGCAGGATTAGGAAATTTATAGAGGCCATCATCTCCAACACGACAACTGAGCAACACTTCAGAAGTAGCCTGAGATTTGACAACACAGAATGTAGGATGAAATTCAAAAAACACATTATTATCTTGAACAAATTTGCTCACACTCATGAGATTTTTGGTAATTTGAGGGACATGTAAGAGATTACTAAGAATGAGAGATAGGTGAGGTTTGTGTGGTAAAGAAAAGGACATAGAACCAACAGAATTGATGGACAAACCTTGGCCGTTTCCTATGAAGACTTGCTCAGATCCAGGCACAGAAGCAGAGTCAGACACATTAGAGGCCTCAGGAGTAACATGATGAGAAGCTCCGGAATCAGGGTACCACCATGGATTATTACTGCTGGTTTCAGTACCTGCATAAAAAGCTCGTGGTGCTTGTGGTGCAGAGGATCTTGGAGGTGCAGCCCTGGGTGAAGCATATGCAAACTGCACAGGGTACATAGCACGTGGAGCCACAAGGAATGGATTGAATGGAGCTCTCTGCTGAGAATAACCAGCACCACTGGAATTGGAGTAACGATAATAGCATACTGAAGCATCATGACCAGATTTGTGACAAATCTGACATGACTGTTTGCCAAAACGGCCTCCACCACGACCAAAACGACCGCCTCCACGACCAGAACGACCTCCACGCGAGTCATAGGTATGATTCTCAGCATTAGCAGTGACATGACTTGTTCCTTGAGGAAACGCTTCAGTAGCAACTTGATCAGCGGCGACTGGCGCAGGGGACGATGCTGCCTGAGTGAGATTCACCGTCGTCGGCTCCGCAACCGCAACTTTGCGATGTTTCTCAAGACGCGACTCGTGAGCAAGCAAGGACGACTCCAGTTCATCCAAAGAGCTCAATTCATCTTTACTGTTGACGGCGGCAACGATAGAATCGTATTCCTCAGGAAGTGAATCAAGCACGATTTCAATTAGGTTACGAAGAGGAACGGGAATCCCCAATCGAAACTAGCGATTCACTGATCTCACGAGTGCGCTTCATAAGCTCCTCAATCGTGAGCGT